TGCTGGTGACCAGTCTCCAGACAGATGCTTTTATAAAACAAAATCTATACAATTAATTTACTGATACGTTACCATTTATGCGGTACTTTTTTTTCCCTTGACAGCAAACACTGCTCACAACGGGAGAGTTAATGGTTTATGCTACACCAGTGATGGACTTCATCTGCTGACCGTTGGCACAGACGACCGAATGCGACTCTGGAACAGCTCCACCGGAGAAAACACACTGGTGAGTTTTCAAGTTACATTTTCACTTGCACTTAATTTTGGAAGATATGTAATCTGTGCAGTTGTCATTACAGCTTTTGGTACTTACTGATTTTTAAGGATATAGCTGCTTAATCTCAGTATTAAAAGATTTTGCAAGCATTTCCTTTCAGATTTCTATTCTTATTTCTACTTATTATTTAAAAAAAAGCCTGCACCTACCTAAAGGTTGATCAATTTTATGTTCTGATCTAGTTTAAGTTCAATAACTTGTGAGCACAGCCAAAAACACTTCAGGAGGCAATGAAAACCTTAATATGCAGTGGCTGTTGGTAATTTTAAACTCTTAGTTGTCAGTGTACTGTCCTCAGGTGAATTGTCCATACTTATGAGTTTCACTGATTGACTGACTGACTTTCTTGAAACCTGCTTTGTATTTTTGTGGAATCTCTCTTGTGAAGTTGCATAGCAGTGTTAAAAATACCTATCCATCTACATTTGCACTGCAACCAAACAGCTGGAGGGAGGGAAGGAAATAAATATACTGCTGCTCCTGTCTTTTGTATGGCTTGTTATTTGATACAGGTTCCTGTTTTAATTTTCTGTTTAGTAAAGAAAATTGTTTCCTATGTTTGTTTTGAAAGAATGATATACTAGGTAAGTCGATTTCCATGGGATTTTAGCCAATTGTGATTATGATCTGTCACTACTAGCAGGAAAGAAAAAACATTTGTTCTACCTTGGAAAGCTTTTACTTCTGCTGCCTAGTTCCAGATCATTGCAAAAATGTTTTGTTATAGATATTTAAATGAAAGGACTTTTCTGTCTCCATACTACCCATATGTGCTGGCTTGTTCTCGGCACCTCATATACAGACATCTTTCTGTCTTCAAATCACCATCACCAAAGTAGATAATACAGTTTGTTCACTCTCCTGTCACCAGCTGGGTCTCTGTTTTTTGTTTTTCTGTGCCTGTTAGTTCATTGACTCGTTTCATAGGCTGTTTTACAGTTTTGTTATTTGGTGTGGAATAGCTTGATCCCGCCTTGCTTTTTCAAGTCCAGAATTATGTTGTCCAGAGTACTGTATTTTTACACACTGCCCAGAAGTATTGCTTAAAATAATTTCAAGCATCAGTAGACAAATAAATGCATGTACAGGTAACACAAGTTCACGCTATAGCCCCTTTATTTCCCCTACTAGCCAGTCCTTTTGATCTCTATACTTTTTTTTCCTATACCTTCCAAAAGGTATAGAAAACAAGCTATGCATATGATTTATTTCATTTTGAGCCATGAGGCAAATTTGGGGCCCAGCGGATTGTTTCCATTAGTAAAAGAAATGAATGTACATCTCTTACAAACATCCTTTATCACAAAAAGAAATAGAAACTCCTGATTCACTGAGTATTGGAAGAATCAAACAGAAGGAAGAAGATTTTTCTATTCTCTTATTCTCTATTTATCCTCTTATTCTTTCTATGTTCTCTTATTACTCTATTCTTTTCCCTGAGCAAGGGACAACTTACTGAGAAATCCTTGGGGCTAGTTGTTGGGTTGTCTAGGCTGATGCCTCTGTTCTTTGCCATCCTACCGGCACATATGTGCTTCAGAAATGTAGTCTTCTGCACTGTCGGTGAACTCTGATAAACAAATGGCGCTTACAAGGTAGAAGGTAGTGTAGATCAATTTTTGGGCAGTCTATGGATTAAAGTCCTGCAGTATTTCGACCAGTGCTGTTCAATATCATCAGTGATATAGACAGGAGGTTTGAGTGCACCCTTAGTTTGCAGATGGCACCAGGCTGAGTGTGGCTGACATGCCTGAGAGATGGGACGCCATCAAGAGGGACCTGGACATGTTCAAGAAGTGGGTCTGTGTGAGTCTTATGAGGTTCAGCAAGGCCAAGTGCAGACTCCTGCAAGCGGGTCAGGGCAATCTTCAGTGTCAATGCAGGCTGGGGAATGAAGAGATTGAGAGATGGAAATAGACTAAGAGGGTACTGGTGGATGAAAAGCTGGTCATGAGCCATTAGAGTGCACTCACAGCCCAGAAAGCCAACCATATCCTGGGCTGCACCAAAGAATTGTGACCACCAGGTCAAGAGAGATGATTCTGCTCGTCTCTTCCACTCCGGTGAAACCCCCACCTGGAGTACTGTATCTAGCTCTGGAGTCCTCAGTACAGGAAAGAGATGGACCTGCTGGAGCAAGTCCAGAGAAGGGACACAAAATGATCGGGTGGCTGGAACAACTCTTCTATGAGGAAAGGCTGTGAGAGTGGGGATTGTTCAGGCTGGAGAAGAAAAGGCTCCAAGGAGACCTTATTGTAGCCTTTCAGTACTTTAAAGGGGCCTGTAAGAAAGATGAGAGAGAATTTTTAGTAGGGCCTGTTGTGATAGGATAAAGAGTAGTAATTTTAAACTAGAAGAGGGTAAATTTATACTGAATACAGTGGCACAGGTTACCGAGGGAGGTGGTGGATGCCCCATCCCTGGAAATATGCAAGGTCAGGTTGGACAGAGTAACCTGGTTTCGTTGAAGATGTCTCTGCTTATTGCAGGGGGCAGGGTTTGGACTAGACAACCTTTAAAGGTCCCTTCCAACTCAAACTTTCTGTGATTTATAACTGCATACTGTTGTGCATAGGGAGTTGTTTTAATAGATTCAGTACATGAGAGGAAGTTATTATGTTGGATCATACAGGAAAATTAAGGTGGTGATTCCTCAACTATTTCTAATTTCATTAATAGTTTAGGTGTTTGTTGTAGACTGGCACACAACAGCCTGTGCAAATTCTAAGTGGGGAACTGCTGATTTTTAGGCATGTCTTTCTCCTTAGAGCTAATATTACAGGGAGTGTACTTTAATGAACAGAAAAGTAATTCTCCTGATAGACTTCTGTACTTGGAAACCTCAGGAGTTGTATTAAGACTGGGAAGCTTAAAATTAATTTTACTGAGTGTTAAAGAAGAAATTAAATTGGCCTTGTCATGTAAAGTTATTCCCTGTTAGTTTTAGTTAATAGCTAACTGCATAATCCTTCATTTTACAGGTGAATTATGGAAAAGTCTGTAATGCAAGTAGAAAAGGAATCAAATTCACCATCTCTTGTGGCTGTAATCCCGAGTTTGCCTTTGTGCCATATGGCAGTACCATTGCTGTTTATGCAGTTTTCACGGGAGAACTGGTAACTATGCTCAGAGGGCATTACAGTACCGTCGACTGCTGTGTATTTCAACCTAATTTTCAGGTAAGTGAAGTACCAACAATATTCCAGACATCCTGGAGTATTTGTGCTAAATCTTTTGCATAAAAAGTGTTGACTTTTCAGGGATGTGCTTTAAACAAAGATCTTGACATAAGAGGGGGTTCTGTGGCCTATGTGTCAAGCAAGAAAAGCTTGGTCAAGTTCTTGTGACAGCCCTTTCTATGTTGGGTCTCTTCCACTACTCATTTCATCTCACATAGGTAACTTTTCAATTCACCTATAGTAATTTTTTGCTTTATATTGCCATTAATAAATCATATGCATTAATACTTTTGTCTGTGTTCTGTAAGACTGAAGGGAGGCATTTGTGTTTCTCTGAAATACCCAAGACTAATCACAGTAGGAAAGAACGTGAAGTGCGTTGATGCTGCTGTCAGTACTGAGTAACCTCTCAAGTACGTTGCTAAGATGATCTTCCTCAAATACCTGTAGTTACACCAATCACTGGTCGCTATGTTCACTATGAACAGTTTGGATGAAGTGTTGAGAACACAATGAGCTTCTTAAATGAATCTGAGAACATTTCACCTAAGAAGTAGCTTAGCATTATAGGGACTCATGGTGCTGACATACATATTGTTTTTTCTTCTGCCTTTTTTTTCTTTTCTATTACCCCATAGGATATTTTTCTCGTGTAATAAAGACGTAAGGATAACGAAGCTTAATTTGTTATGACATACTTTACAACAGTTTGTTCTTATGGCTTGTGTGTAAGAAGTGTCTCAGAACCGTGTAATGAAATATGATTGCTGATATCCAAGCAACTAGCTATTTGCAATCCAATGATATTAGTCTTCATCTGTTCTTATGGGGTCAAAATTAATTAGCAGGTTCATGTGGAATATCTTTTGTGTTTGAGATATTATGTGGAGCTGTTTCCACAAAGTGGTGTAAAATTTAGATAATGTGTATATATGCCTTTTGAGATCCTGGGAATAGAGCCATAAAATCCCCTGTATTGTTGTTGGCATAAATTGTTCTTACGTAAATGTCTCTGTAAAGTTAATAAGATGTTAGTCTGCTTGACTAATAAGAACTGCAGAATTTGGCCCTTTAATGAGTGATTAATTTAGTAGGAAGTTGGTAATTTCAGGGTTGGTGTGGAAGAAATCTTCATTGTGCAATCTCTTAGATGATGTTTACCATTGGATCTAATATACTAGATACCATTGTGCCATCCATATTAGCTGCTTAAAATAATTTAAGTAAACAAAAAAGACCTGCATTTCCCTTTCGGAAAGGGAAATGGAGTAAAGCACCATGCATGAATAACATGTCATAAAATATTAGGTATGCATCAGGAAACGATTTTGCTTTAAATTATAGCTACTTCTATTGTTCAGGAAATGCCAGTGACATCTGCAAAGGTATTGGGCAAATCCGGTAGCAGGCTAACAAGTAAAGATAACTGAAAGTTAAATTGGGTGTTATTTGCCCTCTTTCCTCTGAGTCTTCAAGCATAGTATTTCCATATATTGTGCCTTAAACATGCATGGAGTGTGTTTGTAGTACAACAGATGTCTATGTCCTTTACTGTACCATAAACATGCATGGAACTCAGTGGCTCTTCCTTTGACTGCCTTAAGGTATAAGCCACCATTTCAGGTTGTAGTAATTAGTTGTATTAGTCAATGCAGCGGGTATTAACTGCAGATCTTCCAATGCCAGTACTGGAAAGTGAGACAAGTGGTAATAAGAGATTTAATGGAAACATGCTGGTGTGACTATGACATTGACTGCAAGGAGAGATTTTGGCATGGTAAGAGGTTTTAAAATTCTAGTGATATTATGTATCCTGTCAAAGACAGGAGGCCTGAGTAGAGTACTGCTGGCAGGATAAAGTGGGATTTGATCTATACCTTGGTGTAACTTTGACCTGTTATCTTTTAAGCAAGGTAAGTATGATGTTTTTCTCTCATGAAATTATGAGCTCTAATGTATGTGTTTTATGCATTAACAACTTCATGCACGGGACCAGTGAGACACAAGTGAGTAGGTCAGCTCACTTGAATAAGATTACCCACATAAATGAGCTTTTATAGGAACTGGGCATTAAATTCCTGCACCATCAGTGTAATTCGTTCAGTTCTAGAATTAAATATACATAATATAGGAGACTTTCTGCAAACACAGAACTGTAATAGTTTATTGAACTTGCGTTGAGTCAATGTATTAATAATGTACAGAGTACATGTGCATAGAGTTGCTTGCTTGAAAGTATGAAAGCCAGCACGCTTAATGGAAGGCTTTCATACTGTCAGCCTGAATACAAAAATAACATTTTGTTTCCTTCAGGCAGTTTAAGTACACAGCAACACTCAAGTTTGTCAAATATCGTCAGACATCACGTACAGTATGGAGGAGTATTCAGATTGAAGGCATATGCGAATATCTTCATGTGTGTTCATTTAAGTAGCACTTTGGAATACAGAAGCATTGCTAGTGCAAAATTTACTGCAAGATGGTTCGGAATTTCTCACTAGCAAAATTTCCTCAGTTTAAAGTGGCAGAGAAGTCAGTATTTCCTGTAATAAGGAACTAAGAAAACTAAGCTATACTTGACTGTTAGTTGTTTGGTGTAGAGACTGTTTGATTCCAAGTGTTTGCAGGGTGCCTTGCACAATGGGATCTCAGTCCTTAGTCATTACCATAATAAATAGTGTTATTTATATCAAAAATAATAAATTGGTCTTTCTGATCTCTGCCTTCTCAACAGGATACAGGCTTCAAATTGTTCTTTATTTGTTCTTTTCCTGCCCTAAGCGTACTGAAACTACATTTAGTTAATACTTCCTTGTTCCATACATATGCACTCTTCTAACATGTATTAGTAGGTGCTTTTAAGTGGAATCATTCCCTTTTTTTCTTTTCTCCATTAAACTTAAATAATTTCTTAAACTTCTTAACCATTAAAATAGGTATCTTTTCAGATTGCACAAGAGAGAAGCAGAAAGTACATTTAAGCCATAAAGTTCATTTAAATGTGGGTAGTGCTGTTTTGATGAGCAAGCCAGGAAAAATAAAAAAAAAAACTTGTTCATTTTGTTCTGGCATATTATTTAAAATATTGTTCATCAAGATTATAGTACACATCAGAAATTGTCTTTATTTTTAAATAAATATTTCATACACTTTTTCCCCCCCCAACATCCTATCTATATCACTGTTCAGTAAATTTGTGTAGAAGTAATTTTTTCTTGCTTTCTTAAAGGAACTTTACAGTGGTAGCAAAGATTGCAATATCCTTGCATGGATACCGGCCCTTCGAGAGCCACTTCCTGATGACACTTTTGAAAAGGTAATGAATTTGTGAGTTTGAACTATATTTTTAACGGCTGCTATACTTGCAGAGGTGCTGTGGGGATTAAATATGAAGTATGTGTTTCACCATCAAAATTTATAAAAATTCCTAATCTAAAGGAGAATCACCTGGTTTTTTTCTGTACAATCTTTTGACTGTTGTGGTGTTTCAAGAGGACCTCTTCCTTTATAGTCCAGTAAAATGTTTTGCAGCCTTCTAGCTTCTAACTTAATTAAAGTAATACTTGTCATTTGGCTGTCGTCTCACAGCTTCTACTTTAGCTTCCTTAATTTACAAGCTGTTTTCTGTAGTTCATGCTATTTTGAAATTGGAAAGGTTCCAAATATTGTAAATTGTTTAAGAATATACTCTGTATTAACAGTAAGGTTGGAAGTTCTGCACTTGAAACACAAATATTTTTGATGCAGAAATATAGTAAAGAAGATTCTAAACGAGCATATTTTGGTGTCTGAGGTAAGACCTTCAGGCTGTTACAGGGAGGATCATATGTAACACTGTCTTCCAAGAGAGTTGGTTCTCTCTTAGTATTACAGCTGGACAATAAACATTTCAGTCTGAATGGGGAAAATGCTAGATTTTAAGGAACAGAGAGCATCCAGAGAATCAATCTGGCAGACGGTACTGATGTTAAAAATCAGGATATATTAACGTTTTGGACCATAGTATACAAAAATTCCACTTTTTAAGATTTCTGAAATGTTCCTTTTTGGATGGGAAAATTATAAGAAGCATAAAATTATTGTAACATTTGGTTTTCTTTGTCAGACAACTTATTTCAAAAATATCCTACATTTAAGCAAGGAAAAGGAAAGTATTCCCAAAGGTTAGATACCCTAAACTCACAATACATTCATTCAGCTGACCTAAAATAGGTAGTTTACTGTAACTGGGAATTTTGGTGTATGCAGTTTGTTTTTTTTTTCTTAGCATGAAAAACAAAAACAAACCCAGAATAACAAGGTTATTTGCTCAGCTCTAATTAGAACTGCCTCTTTAAATCTGACATGGTAGAGGTACGTAAAATGTGCCATTGCTTTGAGATCTGTTAAGCTACAGCTGCAGTTTGCAAATTTTGTAGACAGCACTGCTTCTGAAAAGTAGTAGTTGTGCTGTCCACAGGCCACTAGTTTCTCATGTGCTGCAAGAGCCATTGGAATGCCTGTATGACCAGGATCTGCAGCCAGGATAGAATGAAACAAGGCCCAAGGAAATTATGAGTTAAAACCAATGGCACTAAACAAACACAGTAATATCTATCTGTTATATTTTATACCAGACATTTGTAAAACTTGCAGTCAGTGCTCCAGGTATTTGTTTTTTGAAATTAGAATTAAATAGAATACTCTTTCTTTTCATAATTTAATCTGTCTCTAATCAGTGGAATGGCCAAGAAGTGGTTAAAACAAATCCAGTGCCCATAAGAGACACAATAGTTTATTTACATCTAGCAATGTAAGAAATGCCTTTAGCATTGCCCTTTTTTTGATTTTAGTATTTTTAATTAAGCAAACCACTGAGATAATTTATTTATTTTTTTTTTTAGTCTCTGTCTCAACAGCATTTAAATCCAGTATATGAAGACGCATGGAGCAGCAGTGATGATGAAGGCTGAATTTCAGTTATGTGCTGATATAAAATTGACATTCATGCACTGTGTTCACAGACTTTATCCACAGAATTGGATATTGTTGGATTTTTGGTACAGTTCCGTTAGAGCAAGGTCTTTCAGAAATTTGTTTCCACTGTTCTCTGTGTTCTTTACTGTAGCAGTTAAATCTGAAGGACTGCTTTTTCATACTTAATGACATTTATACTTACCCTTACACATTGGTATACTTTATTCAGTATTGACACCTGATAAAGGAAGAAGAAAAACACTTGGGACCAGTTAATACTGCACTCTTTCTGTTATCACCAATAACACAAGGAGATAATCCCTTTGTTTCCAAGAGACATGATACAGGGGAGTTTGCTTGAAGGAGGACTAGCTCAGGGATACTTCCAGCTTATTTTTATCAATGTCTGGATGGAGCAGACTGCGTGCATTTTTAGGTGCTTATGTGCTGTGGGAAGCCTGCAGGATTTTGTGCTTGTTCTTTTGCATTTACAGTTTCGCATAAGTTTCATGTTAGCCATATTGTATGTAGTCCTTCAAAACTATTTTAATCTGAAATTGTGGTCTTAATGCCTGCTGTGCTTTGAAAGGGAGCGGCTTTGTGGGGATATTGTCTTTACCTCAATCACTAGTTTGTGCTTCAGACATAATGTAGTCACTAAGCTGAGAGCTGAGTTAGAGGTTACCATCAGATGTAGAGGCAGCTCAATAAAGGAAAAGATCCTTCCAAAGCAGAGCAGATACTAGCACCATAACAGAAAAAAAGGAGAAAATATTGTACAAATAAATGAAAGATAAGAACTTAATCTTTGTATAGTGTATTATTTCTATGATTAGTATGCATTTTACAATTAATCCCCTGTGCATCTGTATTCTAATACAGAATATAATAATATACTAATACAGCCCTACCCAAGGGGACGTGGTTTTGGACCTAATGGTGACCAACACAAGTGAACTTCTTGGGGGACATCAGGACTGGAGACAGCCTGGTCTGCAGTGACCATGCACTGGTTCAGTTCACTGTGCTAAGGGGTATAGAACAGATGAAAACCAAAGTCAGCACCCTAAACGTCAGGAAAGCAAACTTCCAGCTCTTCAAGGAGTTGCTCAACAGGACACCCTGGAAGGCAGTCCTCAGAGGTAAAGGAGCAGAGCAGAGCTGGCAGATCTTTAAGATGGCTTTCCATAGAGTACAGGAGCTCTCAATACCCATGTGCAGAAAAACGGGCAAGAAGGGAAATGGACCGGCATGGCTGAGTCATGAACTACTGGTTGAACTACAGAACAAGGTGAAACTGCAAAAAACAGTTGAAACAGGGACAGGTATCCTGGGGGGAATACAGAGAAGCTGCCCAGTTACATAGGGATAAAGTCAGGAAGGCCAAGGCACAGCTAGAGCTGAACTTGGCAGGGGATACAAAGGAAAACAAAAAGGGATTCTAGAAGTATCTAAATCAGAAAAGGAAGGTCAAGGAAGGTGTGCCCACCCTAGTGGTAAACGGGTGAACTAGTAACATTGGACGAGGGGAAGGCTGAGGTACTCAATAACTTCTTTGCTTCAGTTTTCACTGGCAGCCCATCTCTTCGCAGCCCTGAAGTTGATGGCCCACAGGACAAGGAGCTGGTAGACAAAGTCCCTCCCACTGTAAGCAAGGACAAGGTTCACGACTACCTGAGGAACCTGAACATAAATAAGTCCATGGGAGCTGATGGGGTGCATCCCAGAGTATTGAAGGAACTGGGTGATGCAGTTGCTGAGCCACTCTCCGTACTATTTGAGAAGTCATGGCAGTGAGGTGAAGTTCCTAGAGACTGGAAAAAGGGTAACATTGTGCCCATCTTTAAAAAGGGTAAAAAAGAAGACCCTGGAAACTACCGACCTTTAGTTCCTCTGTGCCTGGGAAGACCATGGAACAGATCCTCCTAGAAGACATGCTAAGGCACATGGAGGACAGGGGGATAATCCTAGGTAGTCAGCATGGATTTACTAGGGGCAAGTCCTGCTTGACCAACCTGGTGGCCTTCTATAACAAAGTGACTGCAACAGTCAACAAGGGAAAACATATGGGTGTCGTCTATCAGGACTTCTGCAAGGCCTTTGGCACGGTCCCCCCAGCATCCTAATCTCTAAATTGGGGAATTATGTGTTCGATGAGTGGACTGTTCAGTGGATAAAGAACTGGCTGGATGGTCACATCCAGATAGTGATGGTGAATGGCTCAATGTCCAGATGGAGGATGGTGACGAGTGGTGTCTCTCAGGGGTCTCTGCTGGCACCAGCATTGTTTAATATCTTTGTTAATGATATTGACAGTGGCATTGAGTGCACCCTTAGGAAGTTCGTGGATGATGCCAAACTGGGAGGTGCAGCTGATATGCCAGAGGGATGTCATATGATGATCCAGATGCTATCCAGATGGACCTGGACAGGCTGGAGAGATGGCTTCACATGAACCTTATGAAGTTCAACAAGGCCAAGTGCAGGGTCCTGCACCTGGGCCAGGGTAACCAGCACTATCAGTATAGTCTGGGAGAGGGTTTACTGGAGAGCAGTCCTGTGGCAAGGGACTTGGGCGTGCTGGTGGATGAAAACCAACATGAGCCATCAATGTGCAACCGTAGCTCAGAAGGCCAATCAAATCCTGGGTTGCATCAAAAGAACAGTGGCCAGCAGATCATAGAATCATAGAATCATTTAGGTTGAAAGGGACCTCCAAGATTATCAAGTCCAACCATTGAGCCATTAGGGCTCTAAAGTCCTCTGCTAAAGCAGATCAGAATCTGTCAGGGTTGGAAGGGACCATACTGGAAAGCAGTCCTGTGGAAAGGGACTTGGGAGTGCTGGTGAATGAAAAACTGAACATGAACTACCGATGTGCACTTGCAGCCCAGAAGACCAATCACATCCTG